TATGGAAGTCTATGTGAATCATAATAACTTGTATGGATATTGTTAAAGAAATGGAACCACAATTTTACCCACTTTTTCAACTGTACAGTATATACCCAAAGAACATAAAATCAGCATACTACATTGACACAGCCACATTAATATTTATAGCAGCACAATTCACAATAGCTAAGCTATAAAGCCAACCATTCAATTTTGAATGGGTCCATTCAGTGATGACAGGATAAAAAATTGTTGCTTATATACACAAGAAACTATTACTCAGCCATAAATAAGAATGACTTTATGACATTTGTCAGTAAATGGATGAATCTGGGGATTTTATTCTAAGTAAAAAAAAAAAAAAAAAAAAAAAATTCTTTAAAACCAAAGGTTGAAAGTTTTTGCTGATATGTGAAATCTAAAGCTCATAAAGTGGGGAAGGGTAAGAAAAAAATATCAGTAGATTGCACAATGGTAAACAATAAATAAATACATAAATAAAAGGGAAGGGGATAGCAATATTAAAGACATAAAAAATAAAATAAATATATTATATATTATATATATGTCTTTAATATTTCTATCTCTAATATATATATATATATATTGTACCATGATAGCCACCAACAAGAACACAATTTTAATTAGGATAAGATATATCCCATTCTTGCATAATGACATAAAAATTGATTTTACTATTAGGTAGAATGAGAAAGAACCAATAAATAAAAAAAAACAAATTTTATTTGTTTGAAAAGCTATATGTATATTCTATTATAAACATCATACAATATATACATCAATCAAAATATATATGTACATATTATTTTGTATGTTATAAACTGTTAAAATTATATAAAGGAAAAAACAAACATGATTGTTTTTGCTATTGTTTATATTAATAACATACATAAATACCATAAAATGTTTGAACTTAAATTCATTGTTAAATATTTCCATTAAGTGGTCTGTCTACCTTGTTACATTTCAAAATTTCTCTTATACTATTGGTATTGGAATTGCTAGAAGTCTCACTACATATTGAGAACAGCCAGCTATATCAAAGAAATAACATATGAGTTTCTATGCTTTATTAAATCTCTGATTATTGCTATACAATTAAAATTTGAGGATTCCCTTTCTTAATTACCATAATTTTCTCATCTGAAAAAATATGTATAATTTAGATCATAATATACAAAATTACAAATTATATATTTTTGTAGTAATGCCTGAGTCTTATATTGTGTTTCATAAATGAGGAGTATATATCCTTTTTTGATCTTAAATCAGTTTATCTGCAGAAGTAGATAATAGTATCATTGTGTTCCAAAACACCACCTACATGATAGTCTACTAACTCATTTCAACTTCAATTACCTTACAGACTGTGTAAATGTTTATGTGGTCAATATGTTATTTATTAATCTATTCTTATTTCAGATACTGTTAACATTCAGGGATATAGCCATTGATTTTACTGAAGAGGAGTGGGAATGCCTTCAGCCTGCTCAGAAAAACTTATATAAAGATGTGATGTTAGAGAACTATAGAAACTTTGCCTTCCTTGGTAAGTTTAATTTCCCTTTAAAATTTTTAATTAATAATTATTATTTAATTTACTTCTGTTGTATCTTTGGGAACCTCTCTATAAGAAGGAGTTTCAGATTTGTGTTTCAAAGAAAAAGGGCATTTTTAGTATAGATATTTTACTCTTTAATATATATAATTTTGCTCTTTAATCTCCCTCTTTCTTGGTGTGTTATACATCCTTCCTTTAGATAAGTAGTACCTAGCATAATTTAGTGATGTAAACTATTGTAGCCTCCACATATCAGGGGACAGTTGAGACATTCAAATGGAGAAATCCAAACTAAAAAAATGTTGGCAGAGTAGTTATTCAGCAGAAAAAAAATTCAGAAGCTTAGCCTTTTTTTTATTATAATCATTGAACACATACTGCCCTACATTTACTACATTTTCAAATTCTTTGTAGTCCTCTGTTTTCTTCTTTACTGATGTCCCAGTTTATTCAGAGTAACCACCAAAACTTACCTTTTGTTCTGAGGGCCAGCATGATCTGTTACAAATCTTGTGAGGAAACCTGTAAAGAAGCAAACAGAAGAGAGAGACACTCACAGTGAAAAAGAAAAGAGAAAAAAACTGGCCACTCCTCTTTATGACTGCACATAGCATACCCCAATGTAGTTTATGTTACCATGACTAAATTCTAACCTAGTGTTATTTTATCCCCAAGTGCTAGCTAACCAAGATAAGGTACAGTTACTACAAACTTAGAGCCCCTTCTCCCTAAGGACATCACCACAGAAAGTAGATAGTGCACCTGTATCGTTGTCTTAATAACTTCAGGGAGAAACTGCTAGGCATTACTATTGTGGAACTCAGGGTACCAGTTATCATGACCCTCACACTTTCCTGTCTTTTTCCAAGGTCAGAATACTTACTTACAGCCTCCCCTCCTTTTTTAAGGCCTTTTGAATAAATAATATTACTTATCTTCTTAATGCTGGTGGGGGCAAAAAATAAAGCATCCATAGACAACAGCAAGTGCCAACATCAGTAAACATCCACCTATGAATATTTTTGACCCAGATAAAATTGAGTAAATATGAAGCTATCCAATCCAACAAGTCTAAACATCAATCATCTTGTTACATCTCTATATCTACAAAAACAAACAAACAAACAAAAAAAAAAAACAGTTTTTGGATACTCTTTGAAAAAGCTACAAATGTTTGTATGTTTTACATTTCTCTTATTCTACTGAGAGTGAATGTAGCTGGTAGATATTTCCTAAATACGTAATGCTATCTTATGAAGTACAAATGGCTGTGGATAATAAAAGTAGCATACTTTTCTTATCTTTACTATATTCCTCTTCTTAATGATGTATTCCTCTTGGATACTGTGGTATCTACAAGAATTTTAATAATATTCTCAAGGTAATTGTGTCTGTACATTTTTATTGAACTGATATATTTTTGAATTTATGAGGACTTTGAATGTACTAATCTGCTACACTCCTGATGTACTTATTTTACCTTAATTTCATGTTATGTATACAAAGTATATTTATCCCACTCTAGAAGGTATTGTTTTATTTCAAATTGTTGTTTATTTCAGCCCTGACTCCTCAAGATACCCAAGAATATTCCCCAGAAAATGGCATAAAACATATATTTCACAAAGTGATAAGTGGAAAATATAGAATTTGTAACCTTGACTATTTGCAACAAAAGAAAATATGGAAAACTACAAGTGAGAATGAACACCGGAAATCATATAAAAATTTAGACCTTGTTCATCACCAGAGAATTTATACTGGAGAGAAGCCCTACAGATATAAACAATTTGGCAAAGCTTTTAGTAAAAAAATAGGTCTTATTTACCACAGAAGAACCCACACTGGAGAGATGCCCTACAAATGTAAAGAATGTGGCAAAGCTTTCAGTCGAGAATCACACCTTATTTGCCACAGCAGAACTCACACTGGAGAGAAGCCTTACAAATGTAAAGAATGTGGCAAAGCTTTCAATCAAAAACCACACCTTATTTTCCACAGCAGAAATCACACTGGAGACAAGCCTTACAAATGTAAAGAATGTGGCAAAGCTTTTAGTCAAAAATCAGACCTTTTTAGGCACAGCAGAACTCACACTGGAGAGAAGCCCTACAAATGTAAAGAATGTGGAAAAGCTTTCAGTCAAAAAGGAGGCCTTACTTGCCACTGGAGAACTCACACTGGAGAGAAGCCCCACAAATGTAAAGAATGTGGCAAAGCTTTCAGTCAAAAATCAAACCTTATTTGCCACAGAAGAACTCACACTGGAGAGATGCCCTACAAATGCAAAGAATGTGGAAAAGCTTTTAGTCAAAAAGCAGACCTTTTTAGGCACAGCAGAACTCACACTGGAGAGAAGCCCTACAAATGTAAAGAATGTGGAAAATCTTTCAGTCAAAAATCAAACCTTATTTGCCACAGCAAAACTCACACTGGAGAGAAGCCCTACAAATGTAAAGAATGCAGCAAAGGTTTCAGTTGAAAATCACACCTTATTCGCCACAGAAGAACTCATACTGGAGAGTAGCCCTACAAGTGTAAAGAATGTGGAAAAGCTTTCAGTAAAAAAATAGACCTTAGACCTCATTTGCCACAGGAGAACTCACACTGGAGAGAAGCCCTACAACTGTAAAGAATGTGCCAAAGCTTTCATTTGAAAATCGCACCTTATTTGCCACAGAAGAACTTACACTGGAGAGAAGCCTCACAAATGCAAAGTATGTGACAAAGTTTTTACTCAAATATCAACCCTTATTTTCCACAACAGAATTCACACTGGAGAAAAGCCCTACAAATGTAAAGAATGTGGCAAATTTTTTAGCCATAAAACAGACCTTATTCACCACAGAAGAACTCACCCTGGAGAATAGCCCTACAAAAGTGAATAAGTGGCAAACTTTTAAGAAAAAATAAAACTTTATTCACCACAGCAGAAGACACCCTGGTGAATGTGAAGTGTAAATAAAGTGATAATAGTTTTAAAGAATAACTAAACCTCATTAACAAAAGAATTTATACAGAAACGAACCCCTACAAATGAAAACAATGTAGCAAAGCTTTTAATAAGAAATCAATTCTTTTTCACCACCAAGCTATTTATTCTGGAAAGAAGATATAAATGTAGAGAATATAGAAACATTTTAAATTATATATCATACATTACTAGACATAAGAGAAAACACACTGGAAAGAAGCTTTACAAATGAGACCATTGTACCATTCCTCTAAGAAAGAGTCAACATATATTCCTCACCACAATAACCATAATAGAGAAAACGTTTTGAAATGTGAAAATTGACAATGTGACAATGCCTCCAAAATTAATTCACCAAATCTCAGCACCTGTGGATACATACTGGTTAGAGAGAATACAAATGGGAAAAAAAAATCATAACCACCAGTTTCTTAAACACTACTGATTTTTGGAGAATTTATTGTGCCCAGAAATCCTAAAATGTTAAATAATATTTTGAAAATTTGTTCAAATTTTAAATTCATTAAACATCTGAAAACTCATACCAGTAATGAACATTGAATTTTTTTTCCAAAATGTATGCCTTATATAAAAATGAAACATTTATAATAAACACTTTGACAAATGTGTGATTATAGTAAAGTCGTTATTTAAACATTACACCTTGATGTATATGAGGGCCAGTAAAAGACATTACTCATTTAAATATAGAAAATAAGTAGTTGCGTTTAAATTTTGCTTAAAATTTTTAATCATTATCAAGTTATTTGGTAGAAATATCAGTCATAAATATCATACATGCATAGTGTAGAAACCTCATCTTAAAAAGCATATAATTTTTGTTTTCTAAATCAAAAATTACTATTTTTATTTTTAAATACTGGAGAGAAAAATATATGAAATCTATTTTTTGATGTTTAACTCTGAATTGTAACATATTAAACTGTATTTTTTTGCATGCCAGTTTATATTTAGGGATTTTTAAAGACTGAGCCAAATTCCTAAGCCCTCTCCCCACTTTTTCAAATATTGAGACTGTCTTGCTAAGTTGCTTGAAACCACACTAAGTTGCTGAGGCTGAATTTAAACTTCTGAAACTACTCAGAATCCCAGTTTTCTTGGATTACAAGCATGGACCATCATGCCCAATATACAGTGCATTGTTTTTACCTATATTTACCTTATGTATTCAATATGTCTTTATAACTGAATATTTGTTTATACATTAACACTCATGTATTTCATCCTGTTTTTAATTGACAGACATCACAGTGTTCTACTTGAGTAAATGTTTTATGTAACAGTAAAACATACTATTGAGTAAATAATACTCTAACATCTCTTAATTCTTTTACACATTTTAATCAAACTTAAAGTGGAATATAATTTGCATAAGCCAGATCATTATATTTTTTTTTCTGTTTGTATTTATGGTGAAATAAGAGTTATAAGAAGGACATAGATATAGGAAAATAAGCCCCAGATTTTCATTTTAACGTTTCCTAGTGATTTGAATAGACTGAATTTCCACAAACTTAAAGGTAGCTCTTTCAAGAGAGAAGAGCTCTATCTTTCTTGTGTGTAAATAATGACCTTCTAGACTTCAGCCTCGTTGGAAACATTTCATTTTTCTGTGAATGAGATCAATTGGTGTTTTTATGTACATTAGTAAATTCTGACATCACTGCTATTTTATAGGTAGTGTTATTTCAGGTAAGGAATCAGAGAAATAGATCTGGAGTCAAGGTTGAGTGAGGCCTTATAGTTATGACAAAATAATCATTGAGCTATGTTTCATAGTCTTATTTTCTGTGGACCAATTAGTAAGAGGTAAACTGATAAGGTTGTATGTAAAGATTAAGTTTCTTATCATTAAATTTTAGCAGCTACAATAGGGCAAAGGCTTCTTATACATGGAATCCATACAAAAATAATATTGAATATCATTCACAATTTTATTAATATTATATGTAATTCATGAAGAACTGAGTTTACAATAATATATGTCTAAGAACAAGGTCTGGGGACATTGTACACTCTCCAATATAGACATGTTTATACCAATTTATTTTATTTATTTATTTATTTATTTTTTTCACGCAATTGGGATTCTCATTTATTGCTGGTAGAAATGCAAAATGGTATGTCCATGTACAATTCTGATAAAAGTCTATTGCTTTAATTCTTTGCATTAACATTTTATAAGAAAAGCTGCATGATCCTCTCAATATCTAATTTAAAAACCATTACATATAAAATTGAGTATTCCTTCATGATAAAAATAATTTAGAAAACTAGTAATATAAAAAAAAACTTTATTAACCTGATAAAGAGTTTCTACCAAAACTCACTGAGAATATTACATGCAATTACAAAATATATAAAAGTATTTCATTATAAATTAGAAAGACAAAATACTTAGTAGCACTGAATCTATTTAATATACTAGATATCCTATGAGTGGAGTAAGTTAAAAAAATACTAAATTAAAACAAGTGAAAGGTATATAGATTACCAAGAAAGTAGCAGGACTGTCATTATTCACAAATTCTATGATAGTCTACATTGAAAATCCAAGGAAATCTACAGTCTAATTATTAGAACTAATTCATGCATTTGGCAAGATGCTGGATGTGAGTGCACAAATTCAATTGCATTTCTATTAACTAGTAATAGATATATAAAAACATAATTAAGAAAGATACTATTTTAAAAAGCAATAAAAATACAATAATACTTAAGAATAAATCTTTCAAAAGATGCGCAAGACTCCTTTGGTAATAATTACAAAATTAAAGTTCAAGTAGAAACATATATCATGCTTTTGGATAGGAGCACTCAATATCTTAAAGCTATCAAATGTCTCCAGATTAATAGAATAAATCGATGCAATTCCAATAAGAATCTCAAAAGGGCCTTTTCTCTCTTTATTAAAAGGTTATTTCTAAAATGTATGTGGAAGCACAAAGGACCAGAAAGAACCAAGAACATTTTGCCAAGGAAAAGAAAAAAGAGCTCATTTTACTACACAGCTTATTAAAAATCTATGATAATGTGAACAGGGAGGAGTCATTGTGGAGCAATGGAACAGAATAGAAAGCCTAGCAACAGATTTATGGATATGTGGAAATTGGAAATAAAACAAAGATGATTGT